AATTTTATTCTTATTAAAATTAAAAGGAGAAAATTTCCAAGTACAATTTACAATTCCATACAATAGGAAGTCCCCTAAAAGTATGCAATTTTCCAATTTTTCAATTGAAAGGAAATGTTAAAATACTTTTTTCAATTTAAACAAGTATTTTTAGAAAAAAGATGGAAAATTCCTTGATTTTTGAGGTTTTTAAAAATAAAATTTTTAAAATAATCTTTGGTTTGGAGGTTTGGCTTTGTAATGATCAAGTGTTTTTATATACTATAAGATGTGGTTTCGTTTAAAGCAGCTTAGCTGGTGTTAAACGTATTTAAGTCATTATGGAGAATTCAAGATTTTATAAAAAAAAATTTTAATGTAAATTATTCTTAAACATGGTTTTTGATATTTTCGTTTTTTTTTTTCATGTATTTTTGGGTCAAAATTATGTTAAAACTCAAGGTTATTTGAATGTTTTAACTATAATAATAAAAGATGAAAGTGAAAAAGAGCATTCAAATAAAAGAAAATCTTTTAATTTTTATTTTTGTATGGCGTGAGCAAATTTCTTTATATTCAAAAGAAATTATTTTCTTTTTTTTTTTGTGTACTAACACCAGTTCCATAGAATTTTTTAAATTTAAAAAAAAACATATTTTTAATTTTATTTTTAATAATTCGTTTATAATCACTGCAAAGTAAAATTTCTGTTAAGCTCTATATAAAATTCATTTCAATTATAGTATAACACTTTCGTTCTGAAAATGAAAGTGTTATACCATAATTTAGCACTATTACCAATCAACTTTTTAGTTTTATATCAAGAACTTGTAGTAAAAATTCAAAGTTAGAAAGCCTTCCCACATGTTAGAAACACAGATATTGCATATTTAAAAAAATCATAAGCAAAAGGGACGAAATCCTATTTTTATATATATTAACAGTTATTAACAGCTGTCCAAAACCCAAATAAAATTAATTCAAAAAATAATTCCAGAGTGTCCGAGTATGTAGACAAAGTTGATTTTAAATTGCCTTATTTTTTCTTTCCTATACGTGCTTGTTATTACGATAACAGAAGTATATTTAAGAAATCTTTGGCAAACAAGTTGGAATAAATGCAAAGGATATGAGTTAAATAAAATATAAGTATATTTTGGAAACCAAAAGGATAATCTTTTTAGCAGAAAAAAAACAGAGGAAAACAAAATGCCATAAAAAGAGAGAAAGAAAAGTATAAAATAAAGTGCAAAAATAAAAGTAGAAAAAGTTGGAACAAAAAAAATCATACCTTAACGAAATTTGAGGTTAGGTTCTTCTGCGTTTGTTCAAGTTAACAAAAAATGTGTGTTTGTGTTATTTTGTGTTTGTTTCAGTTTCCTTTAGCACTTAAAACATTTTCGTATCCCTCTTACACATTTCACTTTTAGGATATCATTTTTGCCCTTAAGTGATCCCAAATTTGTTTTCATTTTTCTTTTTGTTTATTTTTTATATTTGAAACTTTTTTAAGTTTATTTTGGTCAGTGTAATTTTTTACTTAAAAGAAAAAACTCTCAAAAACAAAAACACAAAAAATTAAATAAAAATTTTTTCCTTTTATGTCTGTATAAAGTGTGGGGAATTTTTAATGTTTGTATAACAGAAGAACGAATTTTATCATAAAGGTGATGGCGTACTGTACAGTTTTTATAACGCATGTAAATATTTAACAGTTTTTTTACCAAATTTGTTTTAGTTAGTTATGCGCCTTATCATGTGCAATTATGATTATCTTTATTATTTCAATGTTGGGGTAGATACATATAATATTTTTATGATTGCTTTATTAATATCAAATACGATAATTATAGTTCAGAAATAAAAATTCTTTAAAATGTTTTGAGTAGGGACTATTTTGCTTTTCGATTTTGTTCTGATTAAAAATAATTTATTTAAAATTATTAAGTATCTTATCGACTGATTGTGAAGTGTTTTCAAATATGGAAATTCTTAATTTATTATTTGGCTATTTGTTGCGCAAAGCAATAAGGTTAAGCCTCACACAAATCAGAAACATTAATTAAGCATTACAAAGATCAATTATTTAATAATTTGTTGCCTTAATTTGAATAGTCAGAAAGTCTAAATTTAAGATTAATTGTAAGTAATATTAAGATGAAAAAAACAATACTTTATATTTTTACCGACCGTATTGTGTAAACAATAGGTAGGTTATGTGATGGCAACAAATTTTGCATATCGAGTTTTCGGTGGGAATGCACTTCTCCATAGTAGGGAAGTGTAAGTAAATTATTTTTAGCAACCTGTCGGTCCGTCGGTCTGTCGGTCTGTCGGTCTGTCAGTCTGTCGGTCTGTCAGTCTGTCGGTCTGTCGGTCTGTGTGTGCACGCGTGTATCTCAAATTCTGCTGAACCGATTTTGATGAAATTTTATATGTAAGTTTATTTGCATCATGGCACGGATTGATCAACTTTTGGGATATATCAGGCCTCGGGAACTGCACTTTTTAGCGGGCCTGTTTTACATTTTTGAACATTTTGAAGAAAATATTCGACCGATTTACTTGAAATTTCATATATAAGCTTTTCTCGACCATCAACAAGAATTCCTAACTTTTGGAAGATATCAGGCATCAGCAACTGGACGTTTACTTCGGGCCAAATATACATTTTTGCGTATATAAAGGGAAATAATTGATCGATTTCATTGAAATTTAATACTTGAATTCCTCGTATTAAAACAATGAACATATAAATTTTTTGGAAAGATCAGGGCTCGAAAACTGATTTACGGGCCGATTTTACATTTTTCACCATATCTACGGAACGAATTGATGGGATTTCATGAAATTTGATATTTGAGTTCTGGACATTACCAAAACTAACTGGAGGGCATTTCAGGGAATTCGGATAGCACAAAACGAAACTGTACTAAGAGCCAAATTTACATTTTTCTAGATATGTTAACTATAAGCTTACAAATGTCCTTAAAATTGGAAAGGAGTACTTAACAGACATTTTTTTAATATTCTGTAACACTTTCACTCAACTAGACAATACACATTGCGGTCGGTTATGTGCTGACCACATCAGATTTTTTTTTTGCTTTCAAAGTGGTCTTTGTAAAAAACAAGGACCATAAACCGGAATTTGTTAGAAACAAATTTTAAAATTCGAGATCATTCGTTTATTTAATGGATTAGTTCCATCATGAAAAATCATGAGAATTGAACTGGACCGAATATTTATTTTCTATAGACCGAATATTATAAATGCAATTCCTGAGATTTTTATAAAAGATGCATGACAAAATAGAATTATTGAATCGAAAATTCTCCGTAAAATTTTATCAATTCACAAAAAAATTACAATTAATTAGTGATGTAGTCTATTAAATAAAATTTTCCAAATATTTTACTCAAAAATTCAGAGTTCTTTTTGTAATCAATTTTTTTTTTGTCATGGTACTTGATTTTGTCCCTTAGTTTCAAGAATATCGCAAAATTCATTATACTTTATCACGAAATTATAAAACAATTTGTAATTTCCAAGCATTTATTAAACTTTCTTTTAGTCTACTGAAGACTTTTAAGAGTACCTTCTAAGATAACCATTTAAAATTATTGAAAGTATAAATTTTTATCCCTTTGTTACACTAAAAAATTATAATGTTTTTTATACTTAAAGACACAAGAGATTAAATCATTTTGTGTGCACACGTGGATTTTAGCTTAACTGGGTTTTATGTCGAATCCAACAAATGGTTTATAAAGTAGAACATTTTCAAGTGGAAAGACAATTGAAAACAAAAGATATGGTGTTGAATATGCACGAGTGGTTCGTTTACTTGCTATAAAATTAACACAGTATTACAGTTGATTTCAATAGCCACTTTATCATTCTAATGTTTCTATTTTGAAAACTCATATTTTGTGCATAATAAATTGTCAAGAAGTTGAGATTTTGAGACAGGTAAACATTTTTTTTCTAAAAGGCTTGTTTCAGCAGGAAAAATTTGTGTATGAAATTTCTCTTTTTCAACTTAGAGTTGGGCAAATTTTATTAAAGACCACATACTCGTAGGCAGATTGAAACCGTTATGCACTTTGTTTCTCAATTTTTTTTAAATGAACTTCAAAATTTTATTTTTCATCTTTATACCAAATTTAATTAGTAATTGTTGTTCTTATCTTATTTTTACTGTTTATTATTTGGGGTCCTTAATAATACTCTGATAAAAAACTTAATAATGCTCTAATTTTATTTATAACTCGCACACTCAAGAGCTTTATAAAGAAAAACTATAGAACAATAAAATAACAAGTTAAAATTAACAAAAACATACGACTTTCGATTAAGAAAAGCGAATTGCAGTGCAAGTCCTTTATTATGCATTAACAATAATGTTGTATTTTTATAGTTAATTGAGGTTCAAATTTCATCCTGTAGTGGAATCAAATTGTATAAATTGTATTAAAATTTATTCTTTTGTGTAAAATGTGTCTTTACTCTTTTTCTAAAAAAAAATATAAACATAAAATACAAGAAAATATTATTGCTAGTGGAGTCTTGCGCATTTAAACAGTTTAATGAATATTAACTGATATTTATGTAGGTTATCCGATTTCAACGACTAAAGATGGCTGACAAGAAACTGAAAATTAATTTATGGGAAGGTCAGAGTTAAAATTTTCATTTCTACTTGTTTATTTCTTAAATAATTGCTCTATTTCAAATATTTTAGTCTTATTATGTGCCGAAAAGGAAAAGTTAAGCAGAAGTCCAAAAAAGCCCAAACATGTCACAAGCTTATACATATATCTGATTTCTATGTCTAATTTTTCGTATTGTAAGAGAATAGCTTATTATATTAACACAATTAAGTCTTATTCCGAGGCTTCGTACTATTTTTTTACATCGGGTTAAAGAAATTTTTGAAATTTAAAAAATTTAATATTAAAAATTATTAAAAAAGTTTTAATTTTTTTTTTATTTTCTTTTAAAAAAAAAATCTACTTACAGTTCTTATTCCACTTTCTATGGTATTGTCATCATCATCATCTACACTAGTGATACGATTTGTTATACTATTTGATAATACACCATCAGTAATTTTTGAAACAGGTTTTAAACCTGTCGTTTTTATTAATGATGATGTTGTTTTTGTTGTTACACCTGTCACCGTTGCAGTTGTTGTTGTTGTTTTATTTGATGTTCCCAACTTTTTTTGTTCATTATCATTTTTATTTTCTATACGTGTTATTGCACTAATATGATTTGTTAATATTGATTTTTTTGCTATGATATCCCTGTCATCATGTGTTGGGTTTGTTGATGGTAATGGTTCAAATAAATCAATTGATGAATCATCGTCTTGTGTTTCCGTTGAATCACTATTAAATACAGATGTTGCTGAAGTTCCACCACCTGGTGTTGTTGATAATGATGATGTAAATGTTCTTTTACGCGGATGTCCAAGACCGTAATTAGCTTGATACATTTGATAATTACCGTAAGGATATTGATATGATGTGCATCCAGTATTATTTATACGAGTACGATACAAAGGCCGACCAGTACTATATATTATTAAAAAATTAATAATAAATAATTTCAGTACTTTTTTTTTTTTGATATTATAAAATTTAAATGAATTTAATTTTACTAGAATATTATATAATTAATGGTGTAGGTATTTATTATATAAAATTTTTGGTTAAAAAAAATTTTTTCACTCCAAATAACAGAACAAATAAATTTTGTGTTTTTTTTTTTTTTATTCTTCGCAATCTTCTAAGTAAAATCAAAATTTAATTTTGCATAATCAATAAATAAAAAAATATTAAAATTGATCGAATTGTGTTAAATCGAATATTTTTTTTTTTTTTAAATTCTAATTAAAATTTTCAAAATCTTGTTTCAAGGGTTACCACACTACTTAAAAGAATAGGAAATTTGTTTTATTTAAAAAAAAAATCAAAGATTAATTTTTCAATACCATGCAAAAAGAAAAATTTGTTTAAAAAAAATATTTTTGACTCATTGTTTTTTTTTTTTGGCAATTATTTTTGAGTGTTGGGATTTAATAAAAAAATTTTGGTATTTTGGGATATTTTAAACAATTGCCTATGGTGTGCCCATATCTAGTGTAATTTTGTTATTTTATTTTTCCTTAATATTCAATTATTTTAATCACTTTAAAGATGCTGGAAATAATTGGGTATAGGTAAAGGACTTCCTGGGCCAATCACAAATTCTATTGTAGGGGGGAGTTAGAATTAATTGTTTTCTTTTTTTAAATGACTATGAGTGTGTATGCTTGCGCCGGATTATTTTTTACATATATACTTGTTTATAAGTAACTATTATATGCTTGTATAACAGTTGTAAAATTGTAGATTACATTCAATATATTACAATTTTCCGATCCGTGCTTACTGCGATTAGATGAGACATAATAAATTTAAAAATATTTTTAAAAAAAAAATATTCAAAAACTTGTTTATTTTCAATTTATTATTCAGGAAATTTTGTTTGTCAGGTTAAATTTTCTTCTCTTAACTTAGATTATGTTTCGATTTTGAATTTTTTTTTTTAATTAAGCTCTCAGTTTGTTTAGTCTCTAATAAAAGTAACAATATGCTTGTGCAAAAGGAATTTTAACCTGGATTTCATTTAAAATAAAAAAAACCGACTATTCAGACTCCAAATCAAAAATTTTCATGAATATTCCGAACTTACTTATTCGGTTTATTATAGAAATCTACTAAAATAATTCTATAATTTGTTATTCGTATTTTCGAATTTAGAATTTGTTTTTATCAAATACCATGTATGTATTTTTAATTTTCAAAATTCTGCATAATATTTTTATTTTTTAAAAATTTTTTTCTAATAAAATATCTAAAATTATTTTCCAAGTGAATTTCATTTAAATTCAGAAGTTGTTAAATATTTAAATTGGGTCCTACGGAACATATACATATACATAAATACATATATATATATATACATATACACATGTATAAATTGGAATTAATTTATTAAATTTTTATTATTGATGAAAAAATATTTTAGTTTTATACAAAATTTAATTAATAAAATAATTTCAATCAAAATATTTTTTTTTTGTTTTTTGCTCAAATTTTTATTAAGTAAAAACAAATTATATGCTATAATAAATATTTTGCTATCACAGTTTTTGATTAAATAAATTTAATTTTAATTTTAAATTTAGAAATTTAATAATTTTTTCCGATTTTATTTATTCATATTTTATATTTTTTCTGTTTTTTGTTTATAAGGAAACTACGTCACAAAAAAGTTCAAAAAAGGACTAATTAAAATTGAATTTGTTTTTTTTAATTTTTGTTTTTTTTTTTTTTGGGAGTAATATCAAAACAAACAAAACAAAGAACACTCTCACACACACATTAAGCCATATACTAGCTAATCAAAATTCAAAAAACGCAAAATGGATATCACAAGAACAAAAAAGAAAAAAGAGAAATAAAAACTAGAACAAAAAAAAATTTTATTTAAAAAAAAAAAAAGAACTATGAAACCTATTCAACGTGACACAATTTTTGAAGCATTTTATATAAAAATTATTAAACGGGGGGTTATGGGGGTTGGTTGTTTTTTCTATATGTAAATGTTCTATAAAATAAAATAAAATGAAACAAAATGGTTTGTTGATTTTCTTTTATATAACGGTGGTATATAAATTATACATTATGAATTTACTTACATGTTATATACTCGTAATAATAAAGGGAAATTTTGAATGAAAAATGCATACATTCCAAATTTTTTTTTTCTTAATAAATTTATAATATTAATTTTTGTTATATAATTTAAATGATCCTGCCATAGTTAGAATAATATTTTTCAAAATAGTTATTTCCTTTGCAAATAATGTTATAATTGAATCTTACTCAAGACTCCAAAATATCAATCTGTAGAGTACACACTTATTTTTTATGAATGTTGAGTACCCACATGTACCATTTTTGTTTCTTGTCCTTAAATTTGCAAAAAAAAATGAGCTTAAATTTATGATTTTTAAATCTCCCTGTGTAATAGAAACACTTACAATTTCTTATATTCTCAAATTTTTTGCATTCGCTCTTGACAGTTGAAAGTATTTAAACTAATAAAAGATTCTTGATAAACGATCTCATTTTTAAAATATTGCTAGACAAAAGTGGAACATGTGTGCACTCAAATTGTTAATAAGGTGCAATATCTTATGTAAATGATATTTTTAGAATTTCGAAAACTTATTGAATATTTTCACGAAAATTTCTGTTTGCCCCAGGGTTTTTTTCTTATAATTTTCGTTCCAAAAAGGGTACAGGTTTCAAATCAATAGTTTTCGAAATGAATAGAAGAAAATATTGTATAGATTTTGTATTTTATGAACTTTTGAAAATTCTAATTTTTTCTATTTTGTTTTTTTTTTTGTAGTTTTCTTTATTTCGGCAATTTTGTATGAGTAAATTTTTTTATAGAATTTTGCACAAGCTATTTAAGCTTTAATTTCAGCCACTAAATGTTAAAAAATCTTTTATGATAAACCAGATATTTTGGTCAATAAACGTAAATACTGGATTATAAGATTTCTACTATGATCAGTTTAAGTAAAATTGAAAAAAGGCGGAATTATAAGCAGTTTTAATAAAATATAATTCCATAAAAGGATTTTTGTTATTTTATAAATTTTTAAGAAAATATATTAAAAGAGGGCAAATTCTGGAAATTAATTAAAAAAAAAAAAACTTTTATACTGATCGTAATTATACGAAATTGCATATGAAATTTCATAGAATTACGATTTTCTTATACTAGAAATAGATTAAATGTATTAATATTTTCTTAAAATTCTACAACTCTTTTATATTGTTCATCATGTATTCCATGTTGTTGTAATATTGTACACGTATATAAATACGGTAGTCATACGGTATTTCGCATAAGGAACAAAGGTACCGCTGCCCACGCCCCCCATGGAACTTTGTCATTTTATGCGAAATACCCTGCATTATGATGGCAGTATCCTTTAAATCATATTTTATATACAATTACTGTAAAAAAGTTCATTCGGTGTATTTATTCTAAAAATTTCAAAAAAATCACTCTAATAATTTTTATAAGAAAAAAAAAAAAAATTCCAAAAAATTTACTTCATTATGCATTTCAAATCAAATTAAACAAAAAGAAAACAAAAAAAAAAAAGAAATTCAAATTTCTAAAAATTTTACTCATTTGCAAAATATTTTTCAATTTTATTTTCAATTCTTTTACTTTTAATTTCATTCAAAGACATTTATGAATTTTTTAATTTAAATAAAACAAAATGGTGAATTTTTGTGAAGCAAAAAAAAAACAAAAAAATTAGGAAAAAATTATTATATACCAATTTCAAATACTTCTACTATAATACTGAATTAATAAGGATTTAAAAGCTTACATCCTTGGCGAATATAATAATAAAAGTTTGTTAATGTCACGTTGAATTGTTCCATTTTTAGTATGTAATGATACAAATTTTATTTTGTTTTTATTATTATCATCATCAGTTGAATGAATTTCATCAATTCGACCCAATAACCATTTTGTTGGCGGTATAAATTCATCTTCAATTAATACGATGTCACCGATATTAAAATCATATCTTTTACTTTTATAATAAATTCCTGAATTCGATTTTATTTGATGAATATATTGATAATTTTTTTTTTGATTAGAATTATTGTTGTCGGGTAATCTTTGTACACAAAATGACCTTTAAAAATATATATAATATATATATTTAATTACATACATATATATAATTATGAAAAATATTATTATTTTAAAATATGAAAAATATTGGAAGGATAAAATTGATTTATAAAATTATGTTAGTTTGTAATGCAGACGATTATAATTTTTTTGGGTAGTTTACTCAATTTCAACTATATTTTCAATTCTATACTAAAAAATGAAATTTTCAGAATGATTTTTTTTTTCAGAGGATTTTTTTATTTTATTTCAAAAAATATTAATTTAATAATAAAAATTTAATGTTTACTTGCTTGTAATATAAATACATTGGAAATCTATAAATATTATTTTTACAAAAAAATGAAAATTCTAACAATATTTACAGTGGAATTCTTTATTTTTGAAAAATTTATGAAAATTTTTAAGATCAATATTGAATTTCTTATTGGGATTTGTGCATGAATTCAAAATAAAATTCTCTATGGATTATTTACTAATACTTTACGAATAGGGATTTAGAAATTTGAGGATTTTTTAGTAGTCTAATAATAAGAATTGACTTAATGACACAAGAAACTTGTTCATGTTTATCTACAATATCATGCATCAGCCCTATCCTCCTCCCAAAAGCGAAGTAGGATAAGAAAACACAAATAATAATAAAATTTACAATTCCTAAGTCTTTCAATCTAAAAAAGTAGAATTTGAAGAAAATTATTGCAACTGCAATAATAAATTCGAAAATTCATTTATTTACGAAAAATCAACTCAAATTTTCAAAAATTGTTCTGAAATTTTTATAAAACAAACAATTTTTTTTCAGAACAATATTTGATTTTTATTTAAAATGAAGTCGCAAAAAGTGAGAGTGGAAGTGAGTGGAAATAAATTGAATGGCTCCCTTTTTCACATTTTTCGAATAAAATTTTTGTTTATTATAAAAATTCATTTTAATTGTGTCAAATTATTTCGTGAACAACAATGATAAATAAGATCGTAAATTAATTTAAAGCACAAAATGATTACTATAATCTGGATTCTCTACCATTCTACATTATCATCATCTTGTATATTGTCAAGGAGAATGAAATCTGTTTATCATTTTTTATGAATTTTACCTGTGTTCCTACTTTACTATACCTATGAATTATATGTATATCATATTGTATACCAATAATGTGAGTTTAATCATGAAAAGTGATTTGCAAATTTTACCATTTTTATAAATAATATTCATGAAAACTTCATTACAACAATGACCAAACTAAAAAAAAAAAAAAAATGAATAAACTAATGAATAAAATAAAAGTTTAAGTGAGTTATCTTATTCAGTCATGTATAAGAGAAGAAGTAAATCCTTAAAGAAATTATAAAGAAAATGAAAAAAAGTTCCTACAAACAGAAAAGGGTCAAAATTATTATAAAATTTTCTTTTGAAATTTTTTTTTTTGGTGACATAGAGATAATATTATATAATATTACATAATATGAGTAAAATAAAAATAAAATCCTGTGTAGTGTACTTGAGCTCAATAATATTGTACCCCTAAAAGTATGCAATCATATTTTTTATTTTTTTTTTTCAAATTTACTCTCTTTGAGATTTTTATTGCAAAAATTAATAAAAAATTTTTAATTTTAAAATATTGTATTACAGGATCACAAATATTTCTACATATAAAAGCAAAATTTAATTTAAAATTTAAATTTAATTAATTTAATGTCCCTCTTAACATAGAACGATTCATTATGTAATATATGAAGTTATTTACGAAATTTACTGAATTAACTACACTGAAAGACCTGCTTTTTGGTTCTAAAGAATATAATTTAATTCGCAACCACACACATTATTTAAAATAATTTATGTAAAATTGATGATTAAATTTTTCTTCTATAAATTCATAGAATTCTGAATATAATAATTTTTAAATGTGCGAAACATTTAAGTAAAAGAAATCTTCTGAAATTTGAATTAATTTAATAATATGTAAATATACTTATATTTTTATATGTAATATGACAAAGTCAATATTCTATAAAGAAAAGTTATACTAACTTTATTTCTCGAAGTTTAGCAAAAGTTGCTCTAATCTAATATTCTTTAAGGAAAAGTTATACTATTACAATTTTCACAATCACACACATATATAAAGGGATTAAATTTATTAAAATTTATAGTTAATATAAAATTTATGAAAATGTCAAATTTATGAAAATTTCACTATAAACTTAAATTATATTGACCCAAAATACCTAGATATAAATTCTTGTACAAAAATCATATAGAGTTTTAATATAGTTACTAAAAATTTGTTAAAGATCTTCAAGGAAAATTCAAAAAGACAGAAATTTTTTCGTAGAAAAAAAAAATTTGAAATTATTCATAACTTTTTCTCAAGTTTAGCTAATATTTCTAATTTTTTTTTTTTTTCTGGTTACATATATTTATATACACATGTACATGGAATGTATATATGAGTCCCATACCTATTTAAATATGGTATATAAAAATAAACTTACAAAAATGTTATAAATAGTTACAAAGAGAAATGAACTAGAGTTAGATAAATCTTTTTCTTTAAAAGTAATTTATTACATTATATAATATACCCTATATAGCATTAAATATATATTGGTATATGAATGAATAGGTATACACACGAGAAAATAATTTATGTTCCCACGTGTTCATTTTGTGCTATAAAAAAAATGTTAGTTAATTACTCATTTATAAAATTCTCTTTTGTATTTTTTACTTTTTTTTTGGATTAAACGTACAAATTTAATATTTTATTTGAATAATATATTTATTATATATTATATATATATATACATAGATATTGTTTAGAATGTAGAGAAAGATTTGAATTTGATAAGATAAAGCAAAAAAATTTGAGAGACTAGAATAAAGAAAAAAGGATTTTTAAAAAAAAAAAAAATTTTCCATAATATTTTTTCATCTTTTCATAAAATTATCATTTCTTATTATCTTCTATTCATAAATAAATTTACCATTATATTCAAATATAATAAAATATTAGAAAATAAAATTTTAAGAAAATCCAACCTAGCTACCTATAGTGGATGAATGAAATCCTGCCCATTAATAAAATTTAATTTTTAAAGAGTAACTATTGGATAAAGCAAAGACTCGAACATAAAATGATTCTCAACAATTTCGAAAATTGAAACGATCTGATTAATTGTAAATCAAGATCGTTTATTTGTCAAATTTTGAATTTATTTCGAAATAATCTAAAATTGTCATTAATAACTAAAATTTCATGTCCATATAACAGTTTCATTATTGCTAATACTGGAATATTTATTTAATAAAATACGAAATATATAAGAAAGCTATATAAAAATTTTATTTCAAAATTTCGATAATAAAATATTAAATTTTCATTTTACGGGATGTTTTCGTAATTATTTAATTAATTTTTTAATAATTTTCATTCCTAATTGAATAAATAATGTTAGATAACAATTTGAAATTATTTTATGTTTTAAAAATATGAAAAATTTTTGGGTATGTATTTGATTTAAAGTTACTTATAATATGAAAATTAATGAAAAATGAAAACTTTTCTAAGGAATTTATCTAAATATTTTCAAAAAAATTGATAAAAACTTTATTAAAAGATTTTATTCATAACACTTAAATCGCATCAAATCTTCTATTAAAATTATATAAAAAAAATTCTATAAAATCAAATTTCTATTGAATGGAATTATATTATGTAGAGAGTCATGAAATTTTTTATGTTCACTATAATAATATTATACAAGTAGAATTTATTTACTTACTATTAATATGTTTTAAGCTTTACAAGGAAATACGCGTGTGTCATCATTTTTATCTTTTACAATCTATCTCCTAATGATCTTTGTATATAATAAGGTTAAAATATTAGATGAATATAGAGATTTTGAATCATTATTTTATATATTTATATATCTATTTGTATTATGTACATTACTATATATTAAAATATTTATATTATAGTTAAACTTTGTTATGATTATATATAATAATTTACAATTGGAAAAATTTTGAGAAAACATTGAATAATATAGAAATTTGCTATATACAAGTTTGGTGAACGTAAAAATTTATTAAATGCTAATTAATGGAAAAATTTCTCTATGGTTTAAGTATTATTTTACCTTATGTACCTTTGAGTTTTTGTTATTTTTCCTATATGTAATATTTATTTACATAAACTGTGATTTTAGTTTACTATATGTAATGTTATTATTTACGAATAATAAAAATAATAACAAAAATTCGAAAATACAATGATTTACCTACCATTTTAATTTCATAAAATTCAAAATTTTTGTAACTATCAATTAATATTAATTATTATATAATAAATGAAATTTAAAGAGTAAATTTTTTAATATTAAGTAATAAATTTGGATGAAATTTTAGAATATCTAATTAATTATTATAATATTGAAATATTAAATAAAATATAATTTACAAATATGGTGATTTATTTTAAATTTAAAATAAAATTACCTAAATTGAATTGTTTATAAACTATTTTAAAAGTTTCTATGTTTACAACTAATCTATGAACATTGTAATATTCAGAAAATATTTAATACATAAAATATTTTATAATATTTTTTTAATAATTTTGCTTGAATGAAATTAACTACAGTTCACACATTATTTAAGAAAACTATATTATAGACCTTAAAATAGAGGAATCAAATCTATGGTGAGCAAGTAATAAAAATATTTGAGAGAGCGCATTATTCATATATAAAAAAATTAAAATACTATTCATATGTAGAGAGAAATAATAAAAATAATTCTCTCACATCATAAATGTTGCATGATAGTAAAATATTTTTATTGATTTTGCATATGAAATTTATGTCTTCTCATTTTTTATGTATGAAATAATTTTTCTCTCATAATACTTATACTCTTTGATTCTATGAATCGTCAATATTAATAAAAAATAAAAGCATGTAAAAGGAAAACACAAAAATATTACATTTTGTTTATAGTTGATTGCATTTTCACAAATTTACGATAACATTTTTTCTCTGGTATTTGTAGAAATCTTTATATACTGTTCTTGTGATCATATAGCATAATTGAACATTAAAAAACGAAATTATAAAACCCCCAGTTGACAATTCACCTTTTAATAATAATTTGTTTCTCTTAATTTTTGTTTTATGTATAAATTATTTTAATAATAAATAATTATTTATAAATATTTAAAATATAAAAATAAAATTAAATAAAATTAAAATTATTAATATTATACATAAAATATAGCGTACCAATTAATTATTTTTTTTGATTAAATTTATTATACATATATTTAATTAGTATATAATATTATGTATAAATTAAAATTATAAAATCATAATTAATATATTATTTTTTTTTATTATTAAATTTCTACTATAATGCATTTTGAAATTATTTTTCAAAAAAATACAAAAAAAAAAAAAAAAATGAACAATCTTAATTAACATTTTAAATTATTAATATAAAAATAATTTTGGCAAACATTTTCAATTTGTGTTCAATCAAACAAACTCAAAATTTATTGATTAATTTTGAAAAAGCATAGATTATTACTAATTTTATTAATTAATTATTAAGTATAATTTCATTATTTTTATAATTGTAATTATAATTGAGAGACTTACTTTTTAAGCAAAATGGTACATTTATGTTGCCTCAGTTTTTATTTTTTATTTTTATTTTTAATTTTTAACACCTAAAATTGAACATCAAAAATATTAATTAAGATTGAAATTTAATTTAATTTTTATTTTTTATATAATATTAAAAATTTATATTCAATTTTTCTTTTCAAGTTTATTTTTGTAATTTATAAAATTTTAAAGGTAAAAAATTTTTAATTAAATTTTAAAGTGTAATTCACATGTTTAGTGAATAAAGTTTCAAGTTTATTAGCATTTCTGCAATATTTTTTATATTTTTAACAATTTAGAATATATTTTTAAGATAAGCGTGCAAAAATTGCAATAATGTTCTCATTAATTTATTAAATTTTATTAAAAGTGTTATATATTAAGGTGTAGAAAGCGCTATTGTGTTGAATTTGTGATTAATCATAAATAATAATTAGAACTCGAATTGAGAAGAATTAATACCTAGGCAAATATATAAATACCCAGTAAAAAAAATTGAATTTTTATTAATTGCGGTAATCGGAAACGTATGCTTTTATAAAAACGAAATACAATGAAGTCTATCATTAGCAAATTTCCAAGTTTTGTAAAATTTCATTGTTAAAATAATTTGATATAATGAAATATAATGAAAAAATAATAAATTTAAAATTATTTTTATTGTATTTAATTAAATTTATAATTAAATTGTATGAGAAAATTTAATAAAAATTTTGTTTACTTATTTTAATGTCGTAATGTAGTGTTTATTATGAATTATTGTGGAAGAATTTGAAATTCTATCAAGAGAGTATTCAAAATTTTTTTTTTTACATTCGCCTAAATATATGCAACATTTGTAGATGGAATAGTTTTTGGATAATAGCTTAGCTATTCGTAATATTTCATTATGTTTAGTTATAGATATTGAAAATTTTCGATTAATTATAATATTATACAGGGTGCTTTTTTTTAATTTTTTTTTTACGACTATTTGCATGTATATTATTTGCTTATACTTATGTATGTATATTCTGGACAAAGTTTTTCAACTTTTTACAAATTTTAAAAATTAATTTTTTTTTTAACCATTTCATTTGATTTTCAAATACACGTCATTACGCCATTTTATCTTCAGTTTACCTATAATCGAGAAAATTACGTAAAACTGTGATATTACTGTTTTTTTTTTTTTTTTGAGGGAAAATTGTCGATTCATTTTCGATTTTATTTCCCTTTATTAGCAATTTCACAAAAAAAAAACATATTTAATAGCAAACAGTTTTTCTTATCATGCATAAATTTGAATAAATTTTGATAACGAATAACATTGCCAGCATAATTTCTATAAAAGTAATAATGTACCTATATGAAATACATACATACACACATACATAAGTATATTACGATATTGTTTAAGTACATTACATTTTTATTTGTTTTTTTCTATGTGTTGGCCATGTACAATAATGTAAAGTAAAAATATTATTATGTATGAATAATTTTGTATTAAATCATTTTCTATGATAAATTCATTAAGTATAACATATTGAATTTTTTTGGAATTTTCTATCTGGGTTTAACAATATTCAACGTTATAGTGTATCATATTGTAATAGGTATTATGTAAGTATGTACATAAGGGTACTAAATGAAATCAAAATTGAAATATCTGATATATAATTGATTAAATTCGAAAATGTATTCATAACCCTATAAAGGGTGAAATGAAATAATAGAGCTTATCCCTAAAAACCACAGTCATAAAATTTTTGGTTTTTTTAATTTTTGCAGAAATGTTCTGGAAGAAATTTTAAAATCTAATTTGTTTTTCCAACAAGTGACCATTCTAGATGGTCGCTGTAACAACTGTCTTATAATTGTACATAGGGTAGTTATGGGAGAATACAACAGTATATTTTATAACAATATTTTAATTAATTTGTCAAATTTTCGTTGTCAAATTATTTTTAATTTAATGTTCTATACCTGCTTGATTTGTCTGACTTTTTCAAATGCAATCATTTTAATACAAATCTCAAAAAATTAAAAAATAATTTCTATTACAAAGTAACACTGATATATTATAGAGTATAACAATTTCAAATAGAATTTTAAATAATATTTAACTCCTATATTGTAAATAATAAAAAGAAATTGTACTATACGAATAATTATTTAAAAAATAATTCACATTTTTAAATTTTTATTATAAATTTTATAAATAATTGTATAATATGTGTATAATGTGCAAATATTTATTGAATTCTGTGCATTTTAATTTACATTATATAATATTATATGTATTTAAATTTTAAAATAATTTGTATTTTATAAAGGATAATTAAAAATGTACTTGAATAATGTTAATGTTATGTTGAAATAAGAGAAAATTTTTACAAATAAATTTGAATTATATACAGTGGTCCCCCAATATACGTAATAACCTGATATATATACAGAATGGTAATATTTGTTGCATTTTTTTTTAATTCTCTTATACTCGGCACAATGCTCGTTCGAACTCGGCATATGTCTCCAATTTTTTTTTTTTAATTTACTTGCTACCATGTGGAATAAAGAATACTGATGGTGCTACGATTTACAATATACATATTGGTGGTATGTTTTTGGCATAAAAATCAAAAAAGAAACGTATATCGAGGGATTACTGTATTGTATTATAGCGTATTCTATAAAAATATTTACCTATATTGAATTTTGAATTTTATTTGTGTAAAATATGGAAAATAAATTATGTATATTTTATGTACATAGGAAATTTTTTTTCTTTGTATATAATTGAAAATTATATTAAAAAAAATTTTAATAAAAAAATTATTTATATAAAAAATAAAGAATAATAAATAATTAATATTTAAAATCATCTGATTTTATAAAATTATAATTAATAATTAATAATATTTATGATATATATATATAATATTTATAGTTATATCTGAATATATATATATAATGTATTTTTCTCAATATAAATAATTTAATAATTTATTTGTGTATATAATATATATACTTACTTAAAATCATAACGTGGAGATTCAGCGTCATTATTTCGTCGATTTATCATAGAATTTGCCCGTTCTCCACGGGCTGCGGCCATCATATATGTCCACATGGCGAATCATTTCATATATTATCCCAATTAATAAATTAAAGATGATTTTGTTTTGAATATACTCTGTTTGTTATCCTTTTTTGCTAATTAATTTTTTTTTTTTAATATACTCAAATAATTTTTACTGTAAATAATTTTTAAATAGTTTTTCTCTTAAAAATTGAAATTTTTTCTCTTAAATAACAATAATTGTACATAATTTTTTTTTTTTTTTTTAACTCGACATAAAATTATAATGGGTTTTTTTTCTCTCTGTGTAAAAATTTTCTAATTGTTTCTTAAAAAAAAAAAAATTTATTTTTTTAATGTTGCTATTTAATTTTTTTTTTTCTTGTTATGTGGTTATTATTCTTTTTTATATGTATGTATGTATATACAATATACTATTTTTTTTTTTGTTAACTATTTTCAAAAGTTTATTTAGTACTAAATTTGTTGTAATTTAAAGCCAATTATAAAGCTAAAATACACCATACCACACCATCATTATTAAAATTACAAAAAAAAAAATAAGAAAAATAGAAAATTATTTTTTGTTTTAAGTGATAACTGGCATTAAAATTTTTGTTTGTTTTTTTATCATGGTTTGGTTTGGTTGAATGGATGGAAAACAACAATTTAAAAACTGTTTTGTAATCTGCAATTAGAAAAAAAAAAATTATATGAAAGTAGGTTAGTAACAATTAAATTTTTTTTTTAATTTTATTTTTATTTTTAACTATTTGTAAAAGTGTAATTATAAAATATATAAAAATTGTTGTGTATACGTAGTAAGTTCGAAACAAAATTCTAGATCATTTTAAAAATTTACGAAATAAGGTAGAATATTTTTAAAGAATTTCCAATTATAAAATATTCACCAGTTATGATTTACCCTAATCACAACAGATTCACCGAATAAATATCAAAATGCAAATACTCTCCGCTTACTCTTCGGGAACCACATAAAGGTGAACCAACTTACAAAAATTCAGCATTCAGTCCACAAAAATGTAATTCTGCAGTCATGGTTTTTCAATATTCTTTAATTCCGATTTCTTTTCAAATATTTCTAGATTTCTTAGTTTTGTTATGGATTCTCAAAACCAAAAATCAATTAGGGAATGGAATCTAACCAATTATGTGATCATTTTAAGTCTAATGTCAATCAACATTTTTTCTTTAAAGAGTTTTAGCATTAAAGCAAATTATTTGAAAAAATATTTAATGAGAAAACTGGAACATTAAATTGTTAATGAATTGATAACTATAATATAGTTTCCAGCATAACGTAGGATATATAAATTTGTTCGCAAAAACTAGTGGGGCTAATATCAGGAATATAAAAAGGATTTATACTTCTTGCAGATGATTCTTCTATCAGTAATGATTGAATGTTATAAATCTACTCAATTTATTTTATATTTTATTGATAATAGTTTCTGTTATATTTGGTATCAATTGTGAAAACCGGAAAAAGATCAAAAACTTTAATTTACTTTACCCTTATACTTAAGCTGTACCCTTATATAGATACACAGAAATTTCGTATAATGTGATAAATTTTGCCTCATTTGTATAACAATAACAATATTATTAATTTATTGAACGCACTGTGTATTTCAATGGACTTATTAGCACACATTTTATTGTAATAAAGAAAATTATTTCTATTTATTTAAAGTGTTAACTCTTATATAATTTTATCAGTTTTAAACACATATATATTTATCATACCTACATAATAAGTTGGTGAGTTTTATGTGAATATATTAAATGTGTGGAAGCTTTTTAATTTTAAAATATTAATTAAGTCATTTAAAAATTGAAACTTTTATAAAAGTTGAAATTTTATGACAATTTAATTAAATGTTTTTATAAAAAAATTAATTTAAAATTTTGTATCCCCTATTAAATATTTCATTTAATATTGTCTGCAAAGTTTTTTGAATGATTTTATTTTTTAATGTTGATCACATATTCTATATGTAACGAAAATTAAAGGGGTGGTCAAATTAAACGAGTATAACGAGAAAATATTTTGTGTAATATGAGAAAATTAATGTTGTGGATTAAATAAGTGATATGAAAATCTTTAGTTGTGTTAAAAAATGTGATAAATTTTTATTGTTTTACAATTAAATACATATATATGTATGTATATGTGTATACGAACATGGTTGTCATTATGTTTTTAAAAAGATATTAAAAGTATTAAATGTAATTAATAAGTGATTTAAAAATTTAATTTTTAAATGAAAATTTGAAAAATATTTAAGTAAAATATTTGTTCTTGAATTTATTATAGTGTCTTTTGATGCAGTGTGAAATTTTAATAAAGGTTTTCCAAATTATATTATTATTAGCGGCGAGATTAGTGACAAATGAGGTTTTTTTCGCAGGATTTTTGTAAATGTTGAGTAAAATTTATTATAGAAAACCTGAATTTGAATTTTTTATAATTCTCCGTAAATTCGGAATATAATTAACATAATTCGGAATATAATTCATTAACATCGTCTACTGCGAATCAGCGAATTTGTGTAGAATTTATTAAAAATTAATTCCTAAAAATTTAAATTTACTTATTTTATTTGCCATTTCCTAAGGAATGGAAAAAATGGGAAAAAACTTTTTTTCTAATAAATTTTTTTTTCAATTTTGTAGGAAATATGTCAAATAAGTGCTCTCCTTTTTCTATAAAATACAATATGAGTATTCTATAAGTAAATGAATGACGGACTCGCTTTGAGGGGAGCGTCAACTCCTTTTATTAGACCGTAGCCATATTTTGAGATGTCAAGGAAAACGGTCCTGGGACCATTGAATTGTTGGGGGGGAACGGACCAAGTTCGAACTGTGCGAAAATTTTCTGGGCCTATCTCACTTCAAACAATTTAGGACTAAGGAGCGGGAGCTGATCAAACTTGTTCGCCAGACTTCAGGCTTTTGGTTGGTAAATCCACTGGAGACTGCCTCTTAATGGTTCATCTGAAAAGAATAAGAAAGCCGGTAGGCCAATTCTGTCCTCTTTGCATTGAACGAAACGATGGAGCACTTGTTATGTAAATGCGAGATTTTAGCTCACCTGTGGCTGAGATGCCTCAGAAGGGACTTTGTGGCCCCGTAAAAACTGTACTTAAATTATTGAGAATTACCTATATTATTGCTACACAATAAAAAGGTTAAAATTTTTTATTTTATTGCTTAAATGAAATTTCAAAAAAATACCAAAAATTTCTCTTTTTCTTCTCTTTTCAATAAAATATTTTTGTATATAAGTTCTTACAACAATATATATATATATATATATGTATAGAATTTGTATTTGATTTCTCAATTAAATAAAATCCTTTCATTTTTCTTAATATTTAAATAGCGTTAAAGCGTAAATATTTATTTATGACTTTTAAAATATATACTTAAATACTTTGCAATTTACACATAAATAAAGTATTAATAATAATATTAAATACATATGTACATATATGGATGTGTATATACTATGTGTTGCACATGTACATAACATATATAAATGTACACAAACATAATATAAATATATTGAAAATCTTTTTCCTATGAACAATATTATACATTATATGTGTATATGCATGTTTACATATATATGTATATGTAATGAATTCGGTTTCAATGATAGCACAAGTGTAAATTTTCACAAAAAAAATTAAGAGAATTTTTAAAATAAGATTATATTATAAGCGTACTTAATACTTGGAAACAGTTTCCATTGCATATATAAATACATTTGGAAATTTATAATCCCCACCCCTCTTTAAGTAAATATTAAACAAAATTTTTGAAATTATGAAAAAATTATTTGCTTAAAAGAATTTTTGCTGTCTGTCATCTCTCTTTTCTCTGTTTCAAATTTGTAGAAAAAATTTGTTCTTTGTTAGTAAGAGATAAATGATATTAATTCGGTACCAAAAATATGAAATTTCCCTATTTAAGCTATTTTCTCTAAATTTTTGAATAAACTCAAATATTTTAATATAATGAGAAAAAAAAAAAATTTTGTTGAGTAGCTAGCAGAAATTCTGTTTTTCTTATTTCTGCCCCAAAATATATGCAATATTTTAAAGTAGCTGGTTTTTTAAAGCTTGTTGGTAATTTAATTGTAAGAATTATAAAAAATTTTAACAAAATCAAAATTAAAATGAAAAGTGCTCTCTTTTGCAAATAATTATTTTGAATTTAATTTATGGTTTTCTCTTATTCTCCTATTGAAAAAATTTATTTGTTATAAATATTCTTATATGTAATTAAAAAGGATAACGAACAGAAAACAAAAAAAAAATTATAATGAAGATATTTTCATAACAATAAAAGAGTTTCCAAAAATTTTGATTTTTAAATAAAGAGTCATTGACAGTAAAGTGATTGTACTTTATTAGAATAATTTTTATATACATAAATAATACATATATGTATGTATGTAATGTGTATAACGAGTAATTAAAATATTATTTTCAAAATTGCTTAAAATAATGTGTGAGAGAATAACCACCTGAGTACATACTCTTTTGCATAATTGTTTAAAAATTCTAATTTAAAATCAAAAAATAAAATTTCTTATGTTTATATAGAATAATGCATATTTAAATAGGAATTTAAATTAAGTAGTACAAAAATGTTTTTATGTATACATAATATAACAGAGAAAATTATAATTCTATATGGTTAGGGTATTAAAATCTTAATTTAGAATGCATTTAAGAAAATTATGGGCTAAATATGAACAACTTAAGCATAGAAAACCACACAATTCAGATTTTTAGACAAATTTGAACTTGAAAGCAACATTTTGGTATGAGAATTACGAGAGAAATTCTTTTACAAATTTTCGGTATAGACTTTTTGAAGCCCACTCTTTATTTAGTAATACCATTAAAACAATTTAATTCTAAAGATATATGTATGTGTATGCCTACTCGAATATATGAGATTAATTCAATTTTTGTTTCACTTAAATTTAAAAATTTATAAATTTTTTTTCTCTCTTTTTTTATTTTTTTTCATTATTAAATATTTTTTTTAAAATTGTTATTATTAATTAAAAAATAAAACCAAAACAAAAAAGAAGGGAAATTTAATGCCTTTCATTAAAAATTCATAAAGAAGAGAGAGAGAAAAAAATAAACGATGTAGGTATATAAAATTTCCATGTGCAAAAGTGAAACCGCAAGGTAAGCTTTATGGAAACAAAATAACAAAAATATGTATGTTAAAAACATAAAGAAATAATTAAAAGTTTTGAGGCAAAAAAAAATAAAACAAAGCTATTTTGCAAGAAACAAGCAGAATAACAGAAGAAAAAGAAGAAGAAGAAGAAGAGGTATTAATAAATAAATAAACGAGAAACCAAAGAAGAAAAATGAAACACAAAAAAAAAAAGAGAAACAACAGTAAAAGGATTCTTCACCTTTGACTTGTTTTTCCTAGAAATTCTGATAAAAATTATGAAAGAGAAAAGAATAATGTAAATATTTTTTTGTATACCGAATTTTGAAAATTTTATTATAAAATGTGTGGAAAACTTGTATATGAAATCATTTTGAAAATTTAAATATTAAATATTTTTATATAATCCTTTTTATTACATTATTTATGTTACTGCAGGATCATAAATTATAAAATCCTAATTTTTTTTTTAATTATTCCAAAAGGGTAAAATTAAAAAATTTAAATTTCCCATATAATAATGCAGAGTATTGCATTTATAATTTTTTATTACGATTTCTAATATTCAAAATAAATATAAGTAGTGGCTACGTAGTATAACTGATGGAAATTTTTCACATCTGTAATTGCAGAACATGTAGAACATGAGTCCGCCCAGAACTCGGTAGATCTCTGGTTCGAGTCCAGTTCGAATTTATTAAAAAAATTTTTCTTCCTTGACTCGTTCATTTGATTAAGTCATCCATCTGTTCCGCAAGTGTATGAAGAAATTTCCATTAGTTATTCTTGTAATAATCAATAGTATAAAAAAAATATTGTAAAAACAACAATACGTTGTGTTGGCAATTAACATTATAATAGTGTCTAATGATTGCATTAAAATTAGTTTATACAACAATACTATTTAAGGATATTAATTCATTGTTCAGATTTGTTCTGTCACTGATTAATAAGCATTTCCAATTAATATTATTTTGGTTGATTATGAGATTAACTTTTATTAAATCATTAATTACCTGGCAATAATATTTTGTACTATTTTTCAGAAATTGTCTTAACGACTTATAAAGCGGAAATATATTGAAAAAAGGAACGCTGGTCTGATCTATAATTTTTTGTAAATTACTACCAATATTTCTGATATTTAATATGAAATATAAATATTTATCTCATACTCTCAAATGAGTAAATAAAATCGAATATAGTTGAATTATTCAGACATCATTTTTATATAATAAGACACTGATTATCGCGTTTCATTTGCAAAAATATCAGTATTAAGTTCTAGACAATGATAAGAATTAGAATTCATACAGAAATATGATTAGCCCTCTTTTCATTTGCAACAGAAATCAATTTTTCATTTACTATGTCTTTTTCAAATTGGAAAATTCAGACGTTCTTTAAACGCATATATTGTAAATTATTATTACCATTAAATAGCCAAGTTAATAAAGTTGGGTCAAACCAATGGTTTGTATTGTAGCACTTTTCCCTTCAACAAGTGAAAATACTGCTTTTAAATTTTAATAGTCTATGTATATCCACCACACTATTAAAATTTATTTTCATTTATAAACGAAACTATTTCTAGGATTGCATACATTTAGGATGAACCATTTATGCAGTCTTTGAAATAAAGCAAAAATTAATATAAACAGGGGTTAACATAATGCTCGATTTTAAGGGTTAATTGTGTGAGTTAAGAAAAATAATTATATTTTTTAGTGTCATGGAATTTCCCGTTAACTTTTTGCGTTTATAGAAATTTGAAAAAACTTGCGGTTTCAGAAATATAAGGTGTCAAAAATTCAAATTTTACAAATTTCAAGAGGCCATAACTTGAGAGGGGGTGGAGATGAAAAAAAATTTTCTTCTAACGAAATGAACTACTTGTTAATGTCTAAAAGCCCTTAAAATTTCAGGCTTCTACAGGCTGGGGTCTAGAAGAAAAACGACATCAAAAATTTGGAAAAAAAAGGACTGCAGATAACGGTAAATTTGAACGGCCATTTTGTTTTTCTAAAGTTTAGCTACAGTATACCGCGGTAGGGGAAGCAAGCCACTGCCTTTCTGCGTTCGCGAAATTTCAAAAATGCTAATGGTTTCATTGCAACAAATAGTTAAAATAGGCTATTTTTAGTGCTTTGGAGGGGAATAACTTCTATAGGGGGGGAGATAGGTAAAAATTTTGTTCTACGAAAATAAGTTTCTAGTAAAGATCTATGTACGTATTAAATTTCAGCTTTCTATCTTTAAGAATGTAGAAGTTTTGTAAACAGACACACGGACAGACGGACGGACGGACGGACGGACGGACGGACGGACGGACGGACGGACGGACGGACGGACGGACGGACAGAGTGAAACTAATAAGCACTTTTTTCAAAAAATTTTTGGAAAAGTGCTAAAAACCAATTTAACATTTTATTAAACATTACTGTTATTCTAGACTGTAAGTTTTACTCTAATAATTCAATACTATAATATTGTAAAAGATGAAAGAACATAAACAAAATTATTTATTAATAAAAATATATGAAAAATAATACACTTTATGTGCCATACAAAACTCTTAACAGATAATTTTTTTTTAACTTGCCAACATCTTTATAACGTACACCCTATATACAAATGCAATTTATGAGTTTCTTATAAAATTAAATTATAAATCATGCTATCAACATATACTCTTATACTACACAATCATAAACATTATGTCAATAATGCATATTATATTTTCCCCGTATACATATATACAATCATAAATAAACCAATTCAAAACCACTTTACATGTCATAACTACCATACTTATACTTATTGTCAAGTAGTATATTAATAATGCTTATGCTAAGAACTTAAGATTTAAGTATATGTATACCTCTACTCTCCTTATACATATTATAAGATTTTACTCGTGTACATAATAATGTACAGTGTACTACATATGTATTGCGCAAAGGTATTTTTCATAAAAGTTCCCTTGAAGGTATTTACTTTTATAGAAATTTAAATGTTCTCACACATCGTTTTCATTAACACCACTTTATAAATAAAATCTCAAAAAAAAATTATAAAGAAACAAAAAGAAAAAAAAAACAAAGTCCCTTGGGAATTTTTTTTCAGCAATCTCTTTTTCGAGTACTTTTTTTTTATACTCACTAGAATGAAGCAAGCATAAAATACAACAATGAGAAAAGCTTATGCAATAAATTTATTTTTCGGATTTTTTTTCTTTCTCTTTTTTCTCATTTCTTTGTATTATGTCAAACTTAAATCACTCGAGTACTTTTATAATAGGCCTTCTGACTATAAATATCTCAAAACAATAAACGTAATGGTTTCAAAATCTAAAATGTTTATATAATTTATAAGAACTTCCAAAAAGAAAAAAAACGAGAGAAACATAAAAATTACAAGGTGAATAGAATATAGAAAATCACCATTAAAGTTTTTTTTTTTTAATTCAATTACAATATTTTCAATAAAAATGTCAATCACGTCCATGTCCTAATTTAATCCTAATGTCAATGTTAACAATTTTGTTTAGTATTCACAATAGCCTTAATATTTGTACTAAATAATTTATTCGAATTTAATGTAATTTTAGACAAAATGTTTAAAAATTCGTCTTTTATTCTATATTTACATGAATGGTAAATCTATGCATAACATTAATAGTAAATCTAGTTTTTTATGTTATGCATAGTACTTTGCACCCTGTTCATCATCAAATCAATTATCATCACCAAAAAAAAAAACAAAAAACAAAAATCTCAAACCATAATCTTTTTCAAAAGAAAAATATTACATTAAAATTATGAATAGCATTAAAAAATATGCGGGCATATACACTGAAGCCTCGCTATACGGCCGCTCTTTATACGGCCTTTCGCTATAACGGCCCTCTTTAATTAAGGTACGTTTTCAATATACGGCCTAAAATGTTTTGCTATAACGGCTTTTTTTTTCTATGTCGATATATTGCGCAAGCGCAATCTTTATTTCTTTGTGTTTCCCTTGTTTACGAGTGTTATTCAGTGTGTACTTATAATGCGACTGGTTTAGATTTGTCTGTGAGTGTTTTATGTACATATTTATTAGTGATTGTTACAAATTAACTGAAAAAGTTGTAAACAATTAGAAACATTTTTGGACGGTAAGTACTCATTTTTTACAATTTTAAAAAAATTTTGATATGTATTTTTAATTTAGAATTTCATTATTTTTTAGACAAAATGGCAACGAAACGATTACCGACTTCGGAGACTGATAAAAAAAGATGCCGCAAAGCAATCACGCTAGAAACTAAAAAAGAAGTATTACGTCGTATAGAAGGTGGAGAGAAAATTGTTGAAATATCCAAGGCAATGGGACTTGCGAAATCGAGCATTCAAACTATTCGCGATAAAAAGGAGGATATTAAAGCATATTTGGAATCTGCTGCACCTTTAAATATCTCAAGATTAACACGCCATAGAAATTGGATTATGGAAAAAATGGAAAAACTATTGATTATATGGATTGAGGACAATAACAAACGGAAAATTCCAATGAGTAAAATGACTATCCAGGAAAAAGCTTTGGGTATTTTCGAAAATTTGAAGAAAGGAGATACCAATGAATCTGAAGATGTCACATTCCAAGCAAGTCGAGGATGGTTTGAAAAATTTAAAAATAGATTTAATTTGCATAATTTGAAATTGAAAGGTGAAGCAGCTAGCGCCGATGAGGCCGCATCTAACGAATATCCCAACATTTTAAAAGGAATTATTGAAAGAGGTGGTTATAAACCTGAGCAAGTGTTTAACGTAGACGAAACAGGGCTTTATTGGAAGCGAATGCCTGATCGCACATACGTTTCAAAAACCGAAAAATCTGCGCCTGGTTATAAGGTGTCCAAAGAACGTTTAACGTTGCTACTTGGTGCAAATGCTACGGGTGATTTTAAGCTAAAACCACTTTTGATATATTTGTCCGAAAATCCAAGGCCTTTTAAAAGATTAAATAAAAATCAATTACCCGTCATATGGAGATCCAACAAAAAAGCTTGGATGACTAAAGCTATTTTTGAGGATTGGTTCAAAAATCACTTTTGTACAGAAGTCAAAAAATATTTACTAGACAATAACTTAAGCAACAAGGCTTTGCTAATTTTAGATAATGCACCAGGGCATCCTACTAATTTATCCGAACTATCAGAAGATGTGATGATTGAGTACCTTCCGAAAAATACAACAGCTCTGATCCAACCAATGGATCAGGGTGCAATAGCCACGTTTAAAGCATATTACCTACGCCGAACATTCCAACAACTTATAAGTGAAACCGATGGTACATCATCAATTAAAACGTTTTGGAAAAACTATAATATCAAGGATGCTGTTGAGAACATTAGTGAATCCTGGAAGGAATTAAAATCGACAACAATGAACCATGTTTGGAAAAAAATATGGCCAGAATGTATAAAAACTACCGATGCAGAAGTTAATTTCCTTCCTGAAGTTAGACAAAATATTTTGGATTTAGCACATGATCTCGGTTTTGAAGATTTAAACGAATCTGATGTGCTGGATCTACTTGCAGCTGATAGAGAACCCCTTTCATATGAGGAACTCATTCAGTTGCAAGCAGAACCAGCAATTGATGAAGATACAGAGCCTGTTGTATCCAAACAGCTAACATCAAAAATCATTTCGAGCGCTTTTTCTTATTTTGAACAAGGAATAAACATCCTCCTTGAAAACGATCCTGACGTCGAACGTAGCGCTAATGTGTCTCGAGGAATTAACTCAGCCATTAGCTGTTATAAATCACTAAAGGAAGAAATAGACAAGAAGGCAAGACAAACAACTTTAGACAATTTTTTCAAACCACCAGCGCAAAATGATGATGACAGTGATCTGTAGGTTTTAGTTGTTTCATTTTTATTTAAAAATTATGTAATGTTTTTGGAGTTTTTTATTTTATGTAAAATTTATGTTCTTGTTAAATATGTTTATAATTTAAACAAAATAAAAAAATAAAATGCATTTTGAATGATAAACCATATTATATATTTATCAAATTTGGAACCGATCCCATTGAATTTGTATGAATACGTATTAGAATAATTGATTCGTTATACGGCTTTTCGCTTTACGGCCAAGTTTTGCGGAACGTATCTAGGCCGTAAAGCGAGGTTTGGGTGTATTATAAAAAGTATAGAATATGAGAAAAAAAAAAAACAAATTACTCATAACTTTAGGCCTTACTTAAAATTTCATCGTTAAAAAAGAAAAATTTTGTAATGGGTTTGTTCACATACATTTTAGTTTTAGAGTTACCGTATAGTTCTTTTAATCACATTTAATATTACAAATTAAAAACTTATAAAACCTAGCTGAGTTTATGGCCCAGTAATTAAAAATTCATTACAAATAATTGAATTCAATTAAAAATTTTGTAATTATTCAATAATTGGGAATTATTTTAAGCGTTCAATTAAAGAAAATTCAGGAATTTTGTATACTGTTATAACTATTTTTAAAAATCATAAATGTTAAATATGAATTGTTAAGAAGAAACTGTAGCTATTTTTAGAAAAAAAAACTAGTAAGCTCTAAATTTGGGATGTGCTTCAAAAATAGATTTCTTATGAGACGAAATTTAATTTTACCCTAGTTTATAAAATTTCTAATTTGAATTTGGATCGTTTTCATACAAAATTTTCTTTGAGCACATTGAGGAAAATTGTGTTCGCAAATTGTATTTTTACTTTCTAAAAATATTTTCATATTTCGATCAATTTTAGGCTCATAATAATGTACAATCTTCATTCATTTCCTCAAGACTTTTATTACTCCAAATAATATCCTTGAAACTATTAATAATATTTTCTATAGAACATCTCTTAAACTCCGAAATTGATCTCATCACCATAATATTGATTAAAATCTAATTTTAAAAGTGCATACTAACAAAACAAAAAAAAATTCATTTGAAATAAATTGAGTTTAGTACCCAAAAAAAACAAAAAATTTTGATTTCTACTTAAACCTTTTTCTGTAAACATCTGGTTATTAAAGTGAAAAACACAAAAATAAAAAACATAAAAATGAAATGAACGAAAAAAAAAATAAGGAATTTGAAAAATCTTTGCACAGGTGCCAGTAATAACAACCTAAACATGTGGTAACCTACTTCTTTTTGAAAATTTGCTCTGGAATGCGACATGATGAATTTTTGAGTAATTTTGTATATAGAGAAGATTATTTTCCTTAGATATTTTGTACATATTTCATTCTTACTTCTTGTTTTTTTTTTGATTTTGTTTCTCTGCTTTTTGTTTTAAATGAAAAATAAAAGGATGTTAAAATTGTCGAAATGTAAATCTTTTCAATGTTTACAAAGAGAAAAAAGTACATTTTAAAAATTAAATTTTTTTTTTTTGTTTATTTTTTGATTCGTTAAAACTGAGAATATTCTTTTTTTTTTCTGTTCGTTCTCTTTCTCTCTCTCTCTCTCTCTCTCTGTTATTTATGAAACTTTTCACTTTTAATGGTGTGTAGCTAAGGTATTGTGTAACAAATAAGGGATCTTAAACATTTTTTAAGAGTATAGAATGGAATTATATTGGTATAGGTTATTAACATTTTTTTTTTTTTTTTTATAAATAAGTATAGGTACTTTTCATTTACCTTAAATATTTTTTACTTTATTTTTTTTTTTTTTTGAGGGTACATATTTATTTTAATAAATAAGGATAATAGCTTTACTGTGTATGCAAAATGAAACCTTTAAAATTTACAATGTTCCATGAGAGCAAAACAAGAACAGAAAAAAAAAAATTTCTTACATCCTTCAATGTTTACTTTTCATAAAATTAAAATGTAAAATTTTCGAGCTGAAAAAAAATGAAAATGATAAAATTTTTCCTTTAAGAATCTTATATCATTTATAGGGTTCCAGAAAAACTCAATTTAGAGGGAATATAGTGATTCTATATAAAGATCCATAATTGGAAGCAAAAACGAAAAAATATTTGTTATTGTACAAGAACAAAGATCAAATGTTTAGGATGCAATGTCTATGATTGTTTTGGGAACAAAATGAAAGCGAAAACGAAAATTTCCTGTATACTAAATAAGTTTTAATATCATTGATTTTTCAAACTTAAATAGTTATTTCAATCATATCAGTTGAAGAACTTAGGCTTTTCATTTTTTTTTTTTTGTTTTAACTTTTTTTTTTTTTATTTACCACATTTAATAAAGTCTTAGTCTATCTTAACCTAGAATAAAGTTAACAAAAACAAGGTTTATTTCTATATTTTTTTTAACATTTAAAATGTAAAAATTTTTTTTGTTAAATTATTAATAAAATTTCATTTGGTTAATTATTAATCTTTTTTTAATTAATTTCCTTTTTTAAAGGATTCTAAAAAAACATAATTCACATTGAAAATGGGTTTGAAAAAACAATGTATAGAATCTTTTTTAAGATAAAATTACTTAACCTAACTTAACCTAACTTAGCCTATAGTTACAACTAACATTAGTTAGAAACTAATTAATTCAATTTCTCTTCGACAACACTCGTTATGACTCCTCTAACCACCAATATCTTCGGGTGATTAATGCATCCCTATCAGGTATACTCATATCATACTTCAAATTTTCTCCGTTAATATTCGCCGGGTCATAATCAATTATTTTACATGTAGCCCGTCTTCTATAGTGATATAGAATAGGGACATGCATTTGGTTTTGTATAAAACCATATCTATCCAAGTAGATAAAGTACTCAGGGGGAATAAATCCTGTGAGCAGCGTCTTTTTAATGTATTCTTCATTGTGGTAGAATATATGTGATATTAAACCATTCTCTGAAGTATTTAATGCTCTCTCATAATGCTTACGAATTAGTTTTATCATAAAACTATCGATTCTGTTTATGTTTGACACTTCGTACAAATATTTATTGGAGTAAAAATGTTTGTACTCAGTCTCCGGCTTTTTTGATTTGTTTATACATACTCTTATGCACTTTCTCTCAAATACCCTGAACTTTTCCATTAAGCTAGCGCTTATATTGTACCATATAGGAATACCATATGTCAACGTCGGTCTAACCAGGGTTTGATATGCTATTACTTTTACCCTTGTACTAACAAATTTATTGTAAAATAAGCGTTTGCATGCGAAAAATGCTTTATTACCATTTTGCAAGGTTCTTTTTACATGTTCTATATATTTTAGATTTCTCTGTAAATAAACACCCAGATATTTTACAGTTTCTTTATTATTTATTGTTACATTATTTACATCCTTTATTTTGAACTTTTTCCAGTTAGTTTTTAGGTTGTAATTCAAATGATTATACGTATCACGAAAGAGTATTGTTTGGCATTTTGTGAAATTTATTTTTAACAACCATATTTTGCAGTAATCTTTTATTATATTAATCATTTTTTGTGTTTCTAGTTGTATTTTTTCTACTCTGTCATTAGCTGAATATATTATAATGTCATCAGCAAAAGCAATTGTGAAATTAGAACCTTTTAATCTGTTAAGCATATTTAATAATTCTAATATATATAAAGAAAACAAAATCGGGGAATTAACAGCACCTTGTTGTAGTCCATTAGGTATTTTTTTAACATTACCAACAATTACTTCATTATTTGATGTAACATAGAATTTATTGTTGCTTATCATACTGTGTACTAGATTAACCAAATGTTGGGGGAATTTTAAATTCAGAAGTTTCATTATTAATCCGTCGATCCAAACTGAGTTAAAAGCCTTTTCAATGTCCACGAGGCAAGCTCCTATCGCAGAACCATTGTTTATATACCAACATATATCAGAAGTTAACTTCGTAATCGCATGTATCGTACTGTGTTTATGTCTAAAACCAAATTGATTTTCAGGCATAATGTCATTTTCGCGAATAAAGTTACTAATTTTGTCATTGATTAAAACTTCGTATGTTTTACTTATACTTGGTAGTAAGCTAATAGGGCGATAGTTGTTAGGATCTGTTGGATCTTTGCCTGGTTTTTTTATTATTATTACTCTAGTTGTTTTCCATGAATTTGGGAAATATGAGTGATTAAGTGCGTTATTGAACAGAATCACGTATTTATTTATAATTTTGTCGCTCAAGTTTTTTATTATTATATTAGGGACACCATTCATTCCAAATGAAGTTTTATTTTTAAGATTTTTAATTATGTTTTTAAGTTCATTAAAATTTGTAAAATAGCTATTTATTTCCCTCTGTTCAGAAGCTTTATTATTTTCATTGAAATTCGTGAGAGTAATGTTATTTGCAGTTCTTGCTTCATTACGATTGTTGAATTCGCCAATTATATTTTTTATTCTATTATGCAAATTGTCGTTAGGTACTGTAGTTGTGTGTGTGTTTTCGATGAATGAACCTAATAAGTTATATATATCCTTTTGATTTTTAAGAATGTATTTATTGTCGTTATTTTTTTTAAGTTTTGTGTAGTCGATATCGTTTGATAATAGCAATGTTTGTGAATCTACATGTAATTGATTAATATTTGAGTAGTGTTTTGGTTTAAATATTTTATTGATTTCTGCAAACATAGAGGATTTTTTTGGAGATATTTTACTAATTCTGTTTTGCCAATATTTATTAATTTCATTTTTCAGTTGTTCCCTTATTAAAATGTTAACATTATTTAACAAGCTTTTCATAAGCTGTATTTGTTGCGAAGAAAAATTTAAATTTTGTTTTTTGATTTTATGGATGTCGTTCATTAAAGTGCTTTTCTTTTTTAAAAGCCTTTTTAAGGTTGCAGAATAAAATTTTCTCATATTATTATTAATTTGCATTTTTGGTACCACTTCATCAATTGTTTTTTTTGTTATATTATCAAGTTTTTCTATATGATAAT